CGATATCCGTGGTTTAAACTAGGGATGGGCGATATGGCCTAAAATCCATATTGCGATATACATTGCAGCCTCTTGCGATAACCATATATATCACGATATATAAATTATAATAGAACCATTTCAGAACAGGTTAGACAGACCATAAGGAAAGCCAAACTGCTAAATGTATTTGTTTTAAAAACATTTATTATGCAAAACTGTAATTATAGAACATAATGTTGCAGATGAATGAAATTCAAGTACACTAGCTGCAGAGACTTTAACAAAGAAAAAGCTTAAAGTATTGGGTTTATTTCCTGTAGTGCACGCCTGTTTCACACACACTCCGTGTGCAGTGCAGTGCGGTGGTGTGCGGCACAGGAGCAGCACGCGCTATTGTGCTTTCACATATGGTGCGTTTGCAGTGGGCAACTGATCTACGGCTGTACGACAAACAACATTAATCCTCTATTTTTTATTTCAAATCACTATTTATATTATTAGTGTCTTTTATAAAATAATATAAAAGAGTTTCAGCATTGTGATTCTATTTGTACACAGACAGTAGGCTAGTAATACGCACTCTTTCACAAGACTTAGGCTATTCACGTTTAAATTTATAACACTTAAAAACGTATTATTACTTCTATATAGATTTATATATTAAGTTGCTCAAGCAAGTGGCAAAACATTTATACATTTATGTTAACATCGCAAACATTTTAAATTAAAACATACATAATTGACATAAACAGCTCTCTCATACCTTTTCTTTTGCATTTAAATCTTTTTTACAAGAAATATTGCAATCACAAAGAACTTGTTTCACGAAGAGACAAGTGCATCCATTATGTCGGGTTGTTGAGGTAATGTTACTGTGTAGTTTCCTTGCTTTAATTACCCCGAGCTTAAAGTTAAAAAGAAAATGATTGAAAAATAGTATAATTTTTTTTTTTACTATATTAGTAAAAAGATTACTATATTTTCATATCAATCCGTGTTCATTTTGACCATGAACCATGCGCTGTCACTTTAATTCAGCACGTGCAGCACAGCAGAAATAGACTGTGTGGAAACGATCACTGCACTGCTGTATACACACCGCTCCTGGAACGCATTGCCGCACCGCATCCGCGTGCAGGCCTGTTAACATGGGTACGGAAAAAATGTATAGCCTACATATGCACTGCAAACGGAATATGTGTGAAACAGGCGTTAGCCAGAACTGTTGCCCATACAGAGTATAGTTTGCTGCTGCTCGTCGGACGGCTTAAATCCGAACCAATGGATGTTGCACCGGTTTTTTTTACCAGCTCCTCCGTTTCGCTTTCAGCCATGTTTACTCAAGATGTCGAATACGATGATGCGTTGCAGCCGTTTGCAGCTCGTGGCTCTAAATTTTGCGGGTAGATTGCGTCGACATGCATTATCGCGATAGTGCAATATAATTAAAATCCATATCGTAGACCAATTTTGTATCGTTTATATTGCATATCGTTTATATCGCCCATTACTAGTTTAAACTAGTATATATTCCAATTGTCGACGCTGGTACGCATTTCAGTTTTACTAACCATTATGTACTAGTACTTATCCTTAGTTATTTGTAACTTTTCAAATAGTTACAAAAGCATCTAGTCTAGTTTTTCTAGTACTAACTGAAGAGACACCATTGCAATACTTATTACACACTACTGTGTCATTTTAGATCTTTGTGGAAACTATTTTTTAGCCTATATGGCGATTACACTTTATTTTAAGGTGTCAATGTTAACAGTGTAATTATATATGCAAGTACTGAGTAATATATTAATTAACATGTAGTTCCTATAGGGTTAGGGTAGGATTAGGGTTTGGTTGAGGGTTAGTTGCATGTAATTATGCATAATTTACTGTTATTATTATGGTAAGTAAGTACATGTAAAGTAACTGTTACCCATTTGCCTAGTGAGTGTAACTATATTAGTACTTAAACTGGAATTAATTTGAGTATGAATAAGCACTAGCAGCTAATGAATGATTACTAGCAACAACAGGAAAAACACTCTAGTCAAAAGTTCCCGATAGAATTCAACCAGTGTCTTAGATTACATACTAGTAATTACATATATTATATTATACTAATAGGTCTAGATACTAGTGAGTTTAAAGCAGACCAACTCTGGGGCCTCAGCAAACTCCCAGGTGGGACAAAATAAGCCCTGAAAGTAAATGAGTTACTTATTAATTATTACTTATTACAGAAGGTCATCAGCTTAGATTAGAAGAGCCTTCAAATATTGTATTGGAAAAAGGTGAGCATTGGAGTCAAAAAGGTTGAGAGCCACTGGTTTAAAAAAAAAACCATGTTAAAAGAGCTTGACCATAGTATGCTATTCTGTCATGTACTGTAAGAATGCAGGGAGTGTCAACAAGCAAGGTGAAATAGCTAAAGGGTAATTTCCACTCTCTACTTGCTCTTCATGCAACCACATGGACAGAGACTGCAGCGCAATAATAGCAACTAATGATGATTAAACGGTGTTATACACCCTATGTGATAGTAGGCTCTTCAAATGCAATGCTGTTTCATACTCACATTGTCTCCTGCAGTATTCCATAGTAAAAGTAGCACACGAACACCCCGCAGAAGCAGACGATGAACCGGAGCCGTTCATTCTGCCAGAGAGACGGTTTGCTCGTCACCTTCACGGCGGCCATACTATCGTCCAGCAGTCTAGGTATGGACACGGACACCGCTCCGCTCCCCGTACCCCGTGCTCCTGCGTCCCGATCCACTCTACCGGCGATCGGTAGCCCGACTCTAGATCCCCCTCTTCTCTGTACTGATGATGAGGCTCTCCTTCATCCGATATAACATCTAACGTTACAGTCTTAAAGCCTCTTAATATAACAACGATAGTACGCTACCAGTCGTGTTGCTCAGTTTATTTAGGTTTCAGTTTATTTACAGATTAGTAATGTAATTGTAGCGCGCGCTAGCTGTGTCCAAACAACCGCATCCTGAAAATGACGAGTGAGTGAATGCGGTTAAAAATGCGGCTTTTGTCTCTAGATATTGCCCCAAAAGCTTAACTAATGTTGTACTCGAGGTGTTGAGTTAATGATCTGTTTTTGACATGTAGTGATAATTACTGCTGGGGCAGTCTCTAATAAATGTTTTCATTTGACGCGTCAAATGACTCTAGAGGAGAAGGACCCGAAGAAATTCGTGCAATCTGCTGATATGCCTGTAATTATAAAGAATTAAAATACCGTTTTAAACCAAGTGCATGTCGTTATTTGCTCAACCCCGGTGACTTCCCTCACATCATGAGGCTTTCCGCTCAATCTTTGTTTTTGTTCATGATTGTACAAAAAGTTGCCTGCTACTTTAATTTAGGCATTGTATACAAATCCCTATAAAATAATCTGTGGGGGCTTTCTTGAAAATAAGCAGTTAGGATTTTACGTAGTGGTATGTGTATTACTTCAATTGGTCCAAATAAGCAAAAGCTGACGACAAGCAGCGAATCACAGTGCTGGAATCTTTAAGAGGGCGGGGCATAGAGTTCGTCTACAAGCATTACGTGTACGTCTCATTAATGCAACTATTATATTAACTACAATTTTATTCTAGGTTAAACTGGTATTACATTTTAATGCAAAGTTGCAAACATATAAATGTATATTAAAATGTAATAATTGTAAAAAAAAAAAAAAAAAAAACTATGCTCAAGAATGCATAAAGATTTTATACAAACCAGGAAACACACTCATTTCTTTGAGTTTGTTTCTCATTTATGGCAGCCAAAACTGAGTAACATAAATGTACAATATATGCGACAAAAAGATTTGTTGTACTGTACTCAACAAAATAACAATAACAGTAACAATCTGAGAACAATATTATCAAAACAGCACCCTTAAAGAACAAGGTAACGAGCAAAACCTTAAAAAACTGAATGGATGATGCCAAGACTGAGACACAATCCATGTAAAAAAAATAATAATACAAAAAATGGGATAATAACAGTGCAGTGTCAGCAAACAACAATTTGCTGGAAGTTTCGTTCCTTATGATGTGCACATATTGAACCTGAATGCAGCAAATTTGCTTGTGTCCTGTGAAAAGTGTTTGTATAACCAGCTTGGTGCTCAATGAACTGAACAATATGACCACTGTTGTAAGAATAGTAGTCAAGTCTGAAGTGAAATTCAGTAAAACATACAGCGCACTAATCAAGTGTGTAGCAAAATAAACCCTTAATGGGGTCCTGTCTGTATTCTTGTCTGAATTTAATTGTGACTATTCAAGAAGAGCTCTGAATAAACAACAGAATAATGGCCTCTGCCTTCTTTCCCTTATTAAATTAGAACTGTAAACACAGTTACACAGGTTCTGTGAATCTCAGAATCCACAAAGAAAATATCCCCATCATATTTCAATCCAAACAAAATAGAAAAATAATGAAGTATATTTTAGGACCTATTTTGTGTGTGTATTTATTTATTTATTTTTAAATCTTACTTTAACAAAAAAAATATGACAATGCAAAAAAAAAAAAAGAATAAAAATAATTTCTTTTGATTGGAGGCAGTAACATATGACCGGGACATTTTCTTGATAAGCTTTGTAAGATTCACCCTTGTACTCTCTCCGAACATTTGTTGACATTCATTGAACGCCTACAGTTCAGAGCTCATCTTAATGATGTCTAAAGGCATACATTCCTAACTACTAAATAGAGCATATTTAAAACAAACCCAGCCTTCAAAAACACCTGAAACATCAGTTGTCAAGATGAAATGCCACTACAATGAACAGCTGATGAGAGACTCTCTTAGTGTCTCTTTCGTGTTATCTGTAAATGCTGAATTAAGAAACTCATCCACAGCTCTGTAAAATCATCATGGAGTGGGTCAGGCTTGAAACACATATGTTTGATAGTCTGTCCAATAGACAAAATATTATAATGAATGTTCAAAATGACCATTTTCTGTTCTGACAGAGCTAAAAATATATTCTTATACATTTGATGAATAGTCATCAATATAGTTTTATAGAAATTAGAGGAAACATACCAATAGGTAATTGCTATAACGTGAAACAAAATGATCACAAGTGCCAAGTGGAGTGTCCTCAGATCAAAAGGTCGCCGGCAAATCACATTGGAGAGAGTCCACTATAGTGGACGAAAAGTTGTCCATTTCATTCTTCCATCATGATTTTTTAAATCTCTGTGCCGATCAAAACAAATCATTTACCGGGTGGATGGCATGAGCTGTTTCTAGAAAAGCTACTTCTCTCTGAAACGCTTTAATGTCCAAGTCTCTGATGATAGGAACAAAGGCACACCATTCTTTTGTTTTTCTTTCTTTTTGCTGTGCATGTCCCCCATTCACAGAGAGGTGGCGGTAGGGTCTGGGAGGGCGCCGCTCAAATAACCACCCACACCATGTCCCGGTGTCTGGCAGGGGGCGGCACTTTGAGCCGAACAGCCAGTGACGGGGGAAACAGACAGGCCGCGGAATAAGAGGTCCATTGAAGGGAGGAGGGGCTTGAGGAGACTGACAGGGCAGAAGGCGGAGCCACCGTGAGGCGTGAAATTCACCTTGTTTGGGTCAGGGCAGGAAGGCTGAAGAGGGGCATTTCCATGACAGGCAAGGCTGAAAAGAATTGACGTTTTGAAAACGGTTAATATTAGGATCGATTGATCAAATGATTGGTTTAATGAAATTAACTGCATGATAAGCAGATACAGGGTATCTTCAGGGTTTTTAAAATCCAATGTAAGCCTTTTCAAGACCTTTTTTTTCAGACTGCACAAATAAACAATACCGTATGAAGTATGAACTGGGTAGAGTTACATCTATAGTAACATCCAAACCATAACATGATTTAAACAACTACAGTTACAGGTAATAATACAAGTTTTGATGAAAACAAAAAGGTTTATAAAATGATAGACCTCACATTTCAGCCTTTAAACATTTTTTTTTTTTTTTTAAATGAGTCAAATTATAAATCATTATATTTTAAATGATTAAAATACAACTCTTATCCTAATTGTTTAGATTTTTGGAATTAGCACATTAGCTTCTTTTCGATCCACAGGCTGAATGGCATTGGAATTTCACTCTCTAACAGTAGGTGGAGCTTATGGAACAGCAGAAATACAGCGGTAAACCCTATGCAGCTTAGGGCTGGGGTAAACGATTATTAATTAAACGATTAGTCTGTCGATTATTTTATCGATTAGTCGACTAATCTAACGACTAATTGAACGATTCTTTTTTGTAACATGGAAATTGCAGGAGTGCACATTCAATGCACAACAATTTTGATCTGGTTCTTACAGAGTATCTACACTGTAAAATGTTTGGTAGGCTACTCAAATGAGCCCTATCACACTTGGATGTGGTGCTCATTTTAATGTTTTCAGTGCTCATAAAAAACATCCGGACTGATTTTTCGGTTTTGTTGACGGGGGTGGGGTTTACATGCGCTTCATAAGGCACACACGCACATTTGCACACACACGCGCAAGGTCTCTCGCTCTCTCCCTCGCTGCGCGCGCTACACGGTTTGGAGCTCGCGAGCTCTAGATTCCGGGAGATTTTAACTAATTTGCGGTCATCAGGGAGCCGCTATCACTATGCGGGAGACTTGGGATGTCAACTCCATTTGACAAAGAGCGCAAATAACGACACCTTTACGTTTGGGACTAAATTTGAAGTATTCCCATACCTTCGATGATTTAGTGCGAGCTGGGGTTTTTTAGGACTTTTTCTTTTGTTGGGACTTTTGCATGGCTTTGTTGTGAATTCTGTGAAGAGGTTGCTGTTTCGTCCTCGATTCTGCAATGTTTCGGTCTCCCACGTGTGTGTGGCGAGCTGTGCCGCCGGGAACGGTGCAAAAAAAATAAATACATAAATAAATAAAGAAGCGTCGACAAAAAAATATGACGTCGACGAATTTTTGACGTCGAAGCGTCGACGTCATCGACGCGCCGCTACAGGCCTAATGCAGCTGCTTCAGAAATGTGACGAATTTGCAGGTATGATATAAAACCAGAAGGTAAACAATGTTAACTCATCAACAGTAGATCAATAAGCTATCGCTTGTCATAAATGCGCAATATTCACTGCTTGTGAACTGCTCTGAAAGCACGAGCCTGTAGAACGCGCAACAGTGCCGTATTTTAAATAGATTATTAAGCCATATCGCGATTCATGTTTTCTGTCCCCAAATTTAAGACCTCTTGAAATTATTACTTTTCTTTTACAGTTTAAGGTATTTATGACTTCTTATGGCATTACATTTGATACACATGAGTTTAAGACTTTAAGCACCCTGATTAAATAAATGTTAATTAAATATTCTACCCAGATAAGGGATTGAACAGACTAGTCACTGATCATTCATGGCCTATAGAGAGCGCAACAGGATAAGACAACTTTTAAGATCCGTTTCAGTTAAAATTACAAATAAATGCATACTCAGAGAGCCCTCCACAAGATAGGTTTGATTATACCATCTGGATGCTCAAAATTGATCACGTGAATGCACGTTTTACACAGCTTATTGTACATGTAAGTTAATCGTTGTTCTAAACTGCTCTATTACGCACGCACACACACAGTAGCGCGCATATCACGTGAAGATCGCGCGCACACAATCATTCAGTAGCGCAGAAATGTATTGTAAACTCTGTTCTGTGATTTATCAATAAAATAGCTTAGAAACTGAAAAGTAATTAAAACTCACAGCTTCACTATTAGTAGAGAGACGCTGCCTGGTGCAATTTTCACATGCAAACGCTCTCTCTCACACTAAAGCATCCAAATAAATGTAATGTTACTGTGTTACTTTATCTATACCTGATTTAGAACGAGCAGAAATCTGTGAGAAATATAATGACCCAAAGACAAAAGAACTGACAAAAATAAGCTGTTATGTAGGAGCGCTGTGTCATATGCCATAGCTGTGCACAAGGAAACCCGCGTTCGAGTCTCAGCTCGTGGTTCAGGTTTATTTGTTCATCAATGATGTCATCACCGACTAGTCGACGTCGACTCGACTTTCATCACATAAATGTTGACTTTAAAAAAAATCTGAAGTCGTTCAACCCCTAACCCAGATTATCAATTTTTGCTGAGAAGAGCCCCTAAATCAAGAGAATGTCATTTACATTATTGTGGCAGACAGGAATATTGATTATCACCAACACTATTAATAACACTATATCAATGTGTTCAATTGATATGCCTAGTTCATGTTTTTGATCACATACAGAAGGTTGTGTTTGCGCTGAACTTACATGGCCTCTTCGGACACACGTACTCTCTCGCAGCCCTCTGGAGGTTCTCTCTGGAAGACGTACGTCTTGTTGGGACGAGGAGATGAGGACGGCGGCTCAGACATACATAGAGGAGGAGAGGAAGGCGGACAGAGCGGCCCGCACACAATCATATCTAAACACAACACACATAGCCAGAGAAACAGAATCATCAGCCAAACACATATTTCAAAATTAACAATTTTACACAGACTTACTGTCATGCAATGATAAAATATGAATGGCATAACTAAGAGCAAGTTTAGACTATTTTTTAATTGTTAGTCTATGAACACATACATCCTTGCCGTCTTGTACCAATTTCAAATGGAACATTAAAATGGCAAAAATAGACCTACTTATATTGGATATAACATTTACTATATTACTACTGGACACGTCGTTCGTTCAATCAACCAAAGAGAGTGACTGACCGGCATCTGTGATGGTGCAGGGAGAGTGTGATGGGGACATTTGGGCAGGAGAAGGGTCACTCTGTGAAGCGCTGCTGTACCTCTGAGCTGGGACGGGGGCTCTGTGACCATCTGGTACATCAAGGATCTAAAAACACACAGTGGTTACAGATGATTTTGAGCTGAAATTGTATGTCAGAAATACAAGTACATACAAACACACACTGACTTTGTGCTGTTCCTTTGCTGTTTCAGACACAAAGACTCCCTCCAGCTCCAGGTTCAGTCCTTCCACACTGCGTCTCAGTCTGGGGGCCAATCGGCTCAGTGGAACGAGGGGCATCGTCTGTACACACACACACAACAACCAGAGAGACCTATAAACCAAAATGTCTACAAGTGACAAAGTTTACAGAAAAGCTACAAATTTTAATATGTGTTGGGGTTCTGATGTGAAATAAAAATGTCTGGTCTTATTTCAATCTAAAATTAAGAATTGTGCGATTCATTCGGGGGGGGGGGGGGGAGTTAACGATTGAAAAAAAAAATATATATATATATTTCGGTTTTGTGGTTAAGCGTAACCTGAACACATGAGATTAACCTGTATGTACATGTAATATGATAAACATGCATCTAATGCAAACAGATTTGTGCATATTCTCACCTCTATTTAAATATTCTACTGTACAAAGAGAGCCACTGCTACATAACATAACCAGCTGTGTGTGTGTGTTTGTGTGTGTGCGCCATATCAATGGCTGTAGCTCACTGACACCATCTAAGTAAAGCTGCTCTGTTTTTAAATCTCTGTTGCTAGTGAGACGTGGGTCCAATTGAGAGGCTTAGCTCATAATCACAGCTCATAAACAAGCACAACCTTTATAAATGCCCTTAACTGTTCCGTTGATGTCACTACTGTGAACGAGCTTTACTTGATACATTCTGAAATTGTTCAGGTTTGTGTTCATGTTTACCTGTGTACTTCCAGGTGTGTGTGTTTGGCTGGTGTGCATGTGTTGGTGAGTGTGGTCACAGTCCATGGCAGGAGGTGCATGTCTGGAGCGTTTTTGTAAGGACTGGCGAAGTTTAGCAACCTGAGAGAAGAGAAACATTACGTATCAGATGTAAATTTATAACGTGCAGAAGAGAGCTGAAAGCTAACTGCTATGGCTACTGCTAAAAATAAATAAATGCAGCCTTGGTGAGCACAACAGAAAGACTTCTTTCAAAAACATTTCACAAAAATCTTACCAACTATAGAACGGTAGTGTGTATTTCAACTGTTTATATATTATTTAATCATGTAATAATGATTATGGATATGGATCCAATATTTGGATACAAATAGAATGGTACTTCATGTCTTTGAACTATTTTCTTGTTATTTACAACTTTTTTTTTTTACAAATTTAACAGTCTATCCCAGCTACCAATCCTTGGAATTAATAGATTTAAACAATTATACTGGCTCCGATAAAAAATAAAAAAAAACATGAGATTTGAATGTAGGCCAATTGACAGTTCTTAGTAGGACTACTTTTAGTCTCAAATAGCAAACAACATTTTCCACCCAACATCAAATACTTACCTCTCGAAGGTGTTCAGCGCTACCCCATGATGCCGAGCGCTTGTGACCACCGCCCCCTCTCCGCCCCCTTGTCTCCTCTATCCAGGAACTAGGAGTCTAAGAAAAGAGAGAAAGCAAGCATTCATTTGACTTTCAAAGTGTTTTAATTTTAAAGTTACTGATTTTCAAATACTCACACCAAAAATGGTTTCTCAGAGACATCACAAAAAAGCTTCAGCTCATTCAGGATAATCAAAACTGAACCTCCTTTCACTGAATACCAACTATCCTAAACACCCTGAGTCTTTGCATAAAGTATTCCAGACCTTTCCACTGAACACAAGACAGCTTATAACACACCCTCTTTTAACAGAGACAAACACAATGCAAAGCGGTTCTGTTCTTTCATGCACCAGTTCGAGCGAAAGCATCCGTTCCTGAGAGAGGTGCACAACATTCACCAAGTGTTGACATGTTTTTCTGTATTTCACAAATGGAACTGAAAGCTGCTTCCGCGCCTCACTAAGTGTATTTGAATACAGGACATAATATGTGACACACCTGGAACAAACACATACGCCCAACACACAGCTGTGCGGAGACGTGCATGATAGAAACCACTGACTCCGCTGCACCACATTTCATAGATGTGGAAGAAAAAAACAAACGTGTTTGTACTCAAGTGCACTCATACAGACAGACACGTGCATACCGTCATGATATCCTGCTGACTCTGGAAAGAAGTAAGAGCCCACCTAGTGCACACTAGCACACTATATCGCCGAACACTGAACGATTTTCTCCAAGTTACCCAATCACTTAGCTCCATCTCAGAGCCTACCGTAACCCAAAAAAGTGTCCTCCTCCTATGTCAGGTCCCTCTTTTCCTGTGTCTGTCAGAGGTCACGAATATATTGTGCGGTTGGGAAGCTAATGTAACAACACGCAGTTGGAGTAACCCATATTAAAACATGTCATCACCTCCGGCCCCCAGGGTGCGAGATCAGAACTAAGCACGTCCGCTCAGTGGCTGGAGGTTTCACGTGGCTGAGCGGGGGCAGGGGTGCGAGTCGATTTAAATTTAAATTCAGCCCTGATTCCTTTCTGCCTGGACACCCGCTTGTCTGCCCGCCCACACCAGGCTGCCGTGGCATTACGCCTATAAACGGACATTAGGTTCGAGGGTCTGTATGCACAGCACGCTAGATGCTGGCTAAAGTTTCAGAAGTCCCCGTCTGCACTCAAGTGGGCGTTCGGATCGGGGGTTGGACAGAGTTGAGAGTGTCTTAAGACTGTACAATTGTTAACTGTTGCAAGTCCATTAAAAATGAGCTGTATTTGTTCGTCAATGAAACAAAGTGAATATATGAAAGTAGGGTGTGTATGGGGCGTGCATCTGCTTGTGCATTGTGTGTGTGTGTGTGTGTGTGTGGGAGGGGTTGAGGGGGACGGTCACTATGAAGGTCATGTTAAACAAAACCTTTTTTTGGGTGACCGGTTATCACTGCAAGCATAGCAGATCACCTGCTGAGAGACACAGCCAGACTGGATGCAGCATCTATGAAGGAAGCGACCACCATCCAAACAGACACTGCTCTCGGAAATCAGCAAAGCAATGAGGTGGTCTGATGCAAAGTGTTAGGAATATCTCTAGTCTTAGAAATACAAGTACATTTCTAAATCTTTGTAGGATGGTTGCCAGGGTGTTGCTATGCAATTTCAAAAACAAATGGCTGCTATGAGACAGTTTTTTTTATTTAAAATATTCCAAAAAGATGAGTTATCTGTCATTTAATGGTGATCTCGATTAATGCTTCTCACGATTAATTAATCATAATCGTCAAGATATTTGCCCACTGGTTGTTCATCCTCAAAGTGTGTTTTTTTTTTTTTCCATACCACAAATGTCGAATCTTGCATTGGTAACAAGACGTGTTTTACTTAATCTTCCCAAACTGGCAACCATGTGTACGTGCTCTCTGATCTGAAAACACTGCCAAACATGTATGTTGGTGTTTAATCTCCGTTGCAATATTCTGCTCAAACGAAAGTGTCAAACAGCCAATTTGTGTTTGTTCACAAAGACGCTTGTGCTGTTTGCTGCGACTACATCTCAGTGAGGAACTGTATTGGAAGTAATATTTAATTTTTTGTTAAAAAAATATTTGTTTAATAAAAAAAATTATTAAACAAATGTATTTAATGTGTGAATTTATTTGATTTATATAATTTGACTAAATATAATAAATCAGGAAACTAGAAGAGGTGAAATAAACCATGCATATGAATCTCTTGATTTGTGCTTACATGAAAGTGCAATAATTCTGATGAAATGTAAGCCATTATCACGCAGCCCCATTTCACAGTATTATTTCCAGAATTTACAAAGAGAGAATTTCTTTCATTTGTAAGCAAAATGGACATTATAACTAAAATACACAAACATTAAAAGAGGTCTCATATGCTCACACCAAGGCTGCATTTATTTGAACAAAAACAGTAACCTGTAAAAACAGTAATATTGTGAAATATTATTTCAATTTAAAATAACTGTTTTCTATATGAATATATTTTAAAATGTAATTTATTCCTGTGATGGTATTTTCAGCATCATTACTGTCATACAATCCTTCAGAAATCATTCTAATATCCTGATTTGGTGCTCAAGAAACTTTTTTTTTTAGTTGTGCTGCTTTCAAGATTCAATGATGAATAGGAAGTTAAAATAAACAGCTCTTAAAGTAACATAATAAAAGTTGTTACTGTCACTTTTGATGTCATTGGTGTCAATGCTGAATAAAGGTATTCATTTATTTAAAAATGTATTATTTAATGTTACTGAGCCCAAACTTTTGATCATTAGATTATGTCCATATGAATCAAAATCTAAACAACTGAAATTGAATCGAATTAGAATCACACGGTAACCAAAAAAAAAAAAAAAATGAACAGCCCCAGCAGAAAGACTTTCAACTTTTGTGTCTGACTGAATATGGCCAACCCCAGCAGGCATGTTGGAGCAGTGCTCCAGGAACCCATATGGAAACCATTTGGAAAAAAACAATATGGCTGCCGTTCCCAGTTGTGTTTTCCTAAACTCCTTCCATTACCAGCCGAACTCTTTCTCCCCAAAGCTAAGATCTTTCACTAGCAACCCTGTGACTTCAGCTTTCTTATACAAACCCGCCATGCCACGGCCATTTAAGAAATATACTTTGCAAACAACAAAAGTGTTACAACTTACACATACAGAATTAAGTAGAGTTGTTTTATCACATAGCGCAGATCTAACCAACGGTTTGTTTTACTCCCCACTGAGTAGTAAAGACTTCACTGCACATGGTCAGACAGGACCTCCTTTGTTTGCTATTAATATCACTGACTGGGTTAAAGGAATAGTCCTCCCAAACCAAATAGTTCTCACCTGTGTGGCCTTGTCATTGACACAGGTAACGGGCTGACACTCTGGTTCCCTCGGCCAACTGCCCTGCAGGTACGGTCCCACCAAAGTGTCCAGAGACAATGTGCGTCGCAAGGTTGGCTTCGGCGGGCGGCCCTTCGTCTTGCACTCGGCTACACAGACAGGACAGGGGACACAGAGTGAGAGAATGAAAACAGTGAGATGAGTCTCTTTTTTTTTTTTTATAAATAGAATTCAACAATTTAAAATAAAATAAAAGTATTGTCTCCCACAATGCAACTTGCTAAGACCGACTCAAAATCAGGTCAGAAATGCGCTTAATTTGCACGAAAGCAAAAAGTCATTATGAATGAGATGGTCTACTCATTTTAAAATCAGTTGATTGGACTGACAAAAGGTACAACATTTTAACGGAAAAACTCATATTGGTAGCTAAAAGAAATGCTAAACATTTAATGAATACGCGAGCTATGAGGAGGGAGTGTGTAGAACTTCTTGAATGACTGGTGTTCCAGTTCTGTGGAAATCAGTGGAGCTGAGACTGGTCTCCATTTGTAGTGTGAACAATAAGCTAGATGTAAACTCCTTTTTGATTAATTTAATTGGACTGGCAAAAGGTAAAGAATTTTTAAAAAACAGAATAATTTTATTTTAAATGTATAAAAACTCCAAATATCTTATTTGCATTTCAGTACTATTTTAGCATTACGATAATGAAAATCAGGTCAGAAATGCGCTTAATTTGCATGAAAGCAAAAAGTCATTATGAATGAGATGGTCTACTCATTTTAAAATCAGTTGATTGGACTGACAAAAGGTACAACATTTTAACGGAAAAACTGATTCACTAAAGCCTGAATTTCCATAGATAGCCAGAAAGGAGGAGTATGAGATCAGCTAGCAGCTGTGCCACAGCTCTGACATTAAATGTGTTTCTGATGATGTTTGTTTGCGTTTAATAATAATCCTTTCATATTTTTCCCATGAGTTGGCATTTCAGCCACTTGTAAATCACACTGAGACACATTCCCAGCATGAAAGACTCATTATAAATAGACGCTGTTGTCGTAACGGATGCTGAACATCCTGGTGCTTGCTTCATCAACACACTGTAGACAAGGTTGTTCTTAGGCTCCTGCCCGAAATACTCCAGAGGATCATTTTCACATGTACACGGGATCGTTTTCTTCTGTGCATTGATCATGTCATAGAAACTAATAATGGTACACCTGATCTCCGACCTTGTCAGGTCCTTCCTCAATCCATTCACCTCTCCCCGCCCCTGGGGTCTTTGCAGTGGCTTCGGGAGACTTTTGATGGTGGAAGTTTACTCATGGGTGTTAAACAAGGCATACTTGTCTTGTACAGAGTGTATTTTGTCATGGAGTTTGAGGGTGTGGAATAAAGCAGGTTGGGTGACTGTGTGCAGAAGATTGTGACATTGTAAGGTTAGAGGCATATGTATGGTTAATCTGATATTTTGCAAGAATATATGTATAAGTGAATCTCACGAGAATATACATTAGCATAAATAAAACAAAACCTCTTTTTTGGCAAATTAAGTCTTTTTGCATATTAAGCACATTTCCACTTGATTCTTATTACCGTAATGCAAGAAATAGTAATGTGATACCTATATATTATATATATATATATATATATATATATATTTGCTGTGTGTGTGTGTGTGTGTGTGTGTGTGGGTAACACTTGACAATAAGGTCTCATTTGTGAACATTAGTTAATATATTACGGTAACTAACATGAACTAACAATGAGCAAAACATTTGCAACTAACAATGAGCAATTAACATTACCTAAGATTAATAAATGTTGTAAAGTATTGTTCATTCTTAGTTCACTAAAGTAGTTAACTAATGTTAAGTCATGAAACCTTATTGTAAAGTGTCACACACACATATATATATGGGTTTAAACATGACTTGGACATGTTCTTGACAGGTTTCATGCGTTTGTGTTTTCTCGATGAGGCTGCACATGGATGAACACGGCCAATGAGCTGCATAGTTTAAAACCATACCCTTCAAGCAGAGTGGGCAGGATACAAAAATACACATACTGGCATATGGACTAAATTTACGCCGAACATCCTAACACTATGAACACAACCTCTGGCCACCGCTTGTGCTCCTTTGTGCGCACAAAGCATATAAACACATGCCATGATATTGTGCTAAATTCAGTGATGGTTAAAGAAGCTTAAGAACGTATTTGCTTTAATAAACAGATTACACATGAACAGACCAAGAAGAAAACGATCTGACTTTATTCCCCCCGCATATTCAGCACTGATTTTTTGGGAAAAACTCCTGAATTTTGCACAAAGGAATTCAAGCTGAGAAAATTATACTCATATTGGTAGCTAAAAGAAATGCTAAACATTTAATGAATACGCGAGCTATGAGGAGGGAGTGTGTAGAACTTCTTGAATGACTGGTGTTCCAGTTCTGTGGAAATCAGTGGAGCTTTTTGCCTCGTACTGTGTGGGCTATAGCGCACATGACTCAATAAGCAAGAGCACAAATGCTAAGAGACCAGAGGGATTTGTTGTTTACCGCCTTGGTAACAATAAAACAAAAATTATTTTGGTCATTCTATCTCTCTCTGTAGATTGTTGCGTGGCAGACCTACTCCTCTGTCTCCACAAGGCTTGTGCATTGTGACGATCTGGTTGCACTCAGAACTAAAGACCCTTTGTGATTCACACATTGTCCTAAAACTAAAGACAAGACTTTCAAAGTATTCTCACCTAGTTGATGAAATGTTGATGCAAAATACCTGAGACAGCCTGACACCTACGAAAAATGTCACACTAAGACCAAAGTTTACTAAAAACATAGCACTTTTGTTCAATATAGCGGTTATGTCAATCATATAAGACCCAGATCTTCAACATTGGTCTAACAATTGTTGCTAAACTACTTATCTAAAACTAATTTTGGTGGAAGATTAATTATCACATTAAAATCTAAAATCTATTTTAAAAGTCCTTGCTCAGTCTCTCTATCCACCAAGAGGGCGTGAAAAAGTTTGAAGACACTGATATATGATACTAAAGCTACAATTAAAATAGTTATATTTAGTCAAATGCTTGAGCAACACAAAACAATGCAAGAATCGTTTCCAAATTTGACATCCAGGTGTGTAACTGCAGATCACAGGAATGTGACAGTTGTAATTTGTTTTTCCTGATGCTGACTGCAGATATTTAAGGTGAAGAAAAACAGACCTCCTGAGAACTGGACACACACTGTTTATGCGCTGAACATGCCAAAACAGTGATCAGAGTATATAAAATATTGCAGGCAAACAATAACATACAAAATAGACATCAGAAGTGTCTTGATACGACAGATCTGCTTTGTTTATTCAAGCCCATGCCATGCTTTGTGACCATCTTGGCCACAAAACATGTAAGGAAATAAGGTGGGGGGTCGTTCAGTGCACTGAGAAACTTCTTGAACACTGTTGCACTGAAGCCAAAACCACAAGAACTCTGCAGATTATCCGTTCACATTATTATTGTTATCGTTATTTTTATTATTATAGGCCACCTACCAAAGGAGCAGAGTTAGAGTGGATAGGACACTTGGGAGTATTACTAAATAAACAGGGTAGATTTATAAAGCGCTTTTGTGGGTGTTTTCTTTACCTGTTTTGGTGTCTTTGCAGCAGCGCGGTGCTGTTCGGTTCTGCAGCTGAAACGGGACCGTGGCTCGGAGGGGCTGCAGTCCTTGATTACCCACCCGGGTCACTCCACTCCGACACGACATTCCCACAGGCGCTTTAGAGCTTTAAAAAGTCTTTCAAAAGCTCACGAATCTCGCAAACCCCAGCGTTTACCTAAAGCTGATACTCCAGCAAAGGTTTTCGTCCAACTTAACCGTCAAAAAATAAAGTTTTTATGGAAATATTTTAATTTAGCACACTCGCTAGCTAGTCAGCTAACGAACGTTACTTTCTTTTGTGATGATAGTGAAGTTTTTCTAAACTAATTACTTCAACAAAAGCCGTTATAGTTCTGTGTGAAAAAACACAAACTTGTATGCACCGTCCTAAACGGTTTATTCCACTTGGCCTAGTAAACTTATAGTTGAGGAGCAGAACTACATTGTATGGGCTGCTGCCAATTCTTCTTCAGTGCAAAATCTGACAACAGCCAACCTACACGCTCGTGTCGGGTTCAGAGCACTGCACAGCGTCTAAACACATGTTTCCACTCTGATTGGCTGCTGAAAAATACTACTCACACCTTATTGGTCGTTGGTAGCATCGATCTATTAGGGGTGGTTCTCAAAGTCGACTCTCCCCGCCCACTTCATTAAGATTCATATTTGTCAGAGTTCTACCTCCAGCAGTGAGAGGAGAGGCTGCTCACTGCAGAGCCAATGGGTGGAGCTTGACGTCAAGTTCCCCTCGCTGGACGTAGTGGGTGGAGATAGACGGTTAAACCACACCCCAATCCTACCATAACCCTATCGCTAAACATAACTCCACCCATTAGGTCCACGAAGGTGGAGCTGCGCTAGGTCTAGCTCCACTCTTTACGTCCAGAGAGGGGGAGCTGGACGTAATTTTGGGCTCTGCAGTGAGTAGCAATTCAGAAATTCGATGTGTAAATAAATTACTTATATTGTTGGTAAAATAAACAAACAAACAAAAACAACGTGTGGTAGGTTAACAGATCTCATTGCTAACTGAAAGAAATTGGGTTTATTGAAGCAAAAAGGATTGTTGACAAGACATAAGCCCCTGGTTTCACCGACGAGTTTTAAATCTAGTCTAGTCCCAGACTAAAATGCATGTTTGAGCTGTTTTAACTGAAAGCAACTTGCACTGACAGACCTTAAAATATGTCAGTGCCATTGTTTTGTCTCGAGATGCACACCAGTAATGTTTTTATTTCTAAGGCATGTTTAGAAAAGCTATACTTAAATGTCCTAAATGATCGAAAGCCTAATCCTGCTTAATCTAAGCCCTGTCTGTGAAACCAGCTGGGGCTGGTTGCATAAACTGCCTAGTCTTAAAGGTTAGGCATCCATTTTTCTTTTTTCTTTAAGACTGTTCATAACTGTTTTAAGTCAATTAGGCTACATAACAAGGTAGACTGGTGTAATTTGATACTAGAAAGTAAGACTGCCCCTGGCCTTGACTATCTGCTGCTAGTTTGCCATACTGGTATACACAGACACAAATAATGGCTATGTTTATGCAACTGGCCCCAGACCTCAGGGTGTCAAAGTGTTGTTAATTGAAATGTAAATATAGCATGAGTGGTCGACCAATATAGTTTTTTTTAATGATAGATAGATTATAGATGCTTCTGGTTGCTTTTAGAGGTAAAAGCTGCCCATAACTGCAGCTGGTCAAAGATAAGTTATTTCCATAATAATATCGCGCTCTGGAAAACACATTTCTTTTTACCACTTGTTTTGCAGCGTTTTGCAATGTAGCCAATCACAAACATATTTGTTGATTTCTTGAACGCTCAGAGGTGTTCAAGTTAGCACTGAACAAAAGTGGATCGATAAACTAAGATGAGTGACAACTTTTTAGCAATTATGAAGGGAGCGCTCTTTGCACGCTTTTTGCCATGCCAAATCCCGCATGCAGTATGCTTGTTTGTCTTTTAGCATTAACAGTGGCTTGTGAAAGTATACTTTAATTGCAAATCATTTATTGGGAGCATTTATGCTGGGATAGGTTGTGTGGTGACAAAATGTTTTTAACGGGGAAATGAATCTATTTATTGAGTAAATGTACCATGCGTTTGTATCCTGCTTTGCAAAGCCATTACAAGCAATATCCACTAGATGTCGAGTTCTCCCGGGAAGTGCTGATATTGTTGTGCTGTTTGCCCTGAAGCATTCTGGGATAAGAATTTGAGATTTAAGTGTTTTTTTTGCAATATTCAGAGAAACAAGTCTGAGGTAAGATAACATAAGAATCATTTATTACAATTCAAAACTGCAGAGCACTGCCACCACTGCATAACAAAATAGGCAATTATACAGAAACTGGGGAGGGGAAACACACCAATAAGATAAATATGACCAAATATTTGAATTTAGCTGACAACACTTGAAATGCTTGCTGTCACATTATATAACTGTCAAAGGCACAAATACAATGAGTAAGCCAAGGCATTTACAGCCTCAATAAAGCGCATTTCACATGCAGATAGAGGCATCAGATTCTGCCTTCTCCCTCCCTTGGTCTCTCTCTTTTATTTCCTCATATCTTTTGTTCTAAGTTGATTATAAGCATAGGAAGGAGGTAATATGTCTAAATCAGAGATTTGACTGCGGTTAACATGTGACCAGATGTGTTCATGTTAATTTTAAATGCATTTATGTATAATGAATAACTGCCAAGTCTTGAGTTTTTTGTATCACTTTGATTTATTTATGCCTTGGTGCTGGGACGCTGCTGTGGCCTTGGGCTCTAATATCTGGCTCAGGGAATGTTACAGACATTCAAACATTCTGATGAAGACTTTACTGAAGGGTGGAAGATCAGAGTGAATAATAAATTGGAAAGTAAAGGTAGGAAAGTTAGAGGGTGCAGGAGGGTTCGTCATTCATGGATTTTTAAGATTGGATCTTACACTTCACAAATACCAAATTCAGATTAAACACCTTCTTCACCCATAAAACACAATCAATCCACACTGTTTTGTTTCAGATCCTTGGGAACGTTGGAGGACGTTGGTTGCACAATTGTGATGTCTCTTCGGGAAAGTACAGTTGAGACAGAGAGTGTTTTGTTGGTTGGACTTTGGCGCCCCCTAGCTGGGAGACAGGGCAGGACTTGGCTCTCTGCTGATGTTGACCAAATACTCGCTGGATTTGAGACTTGCCAGAGACTTGCAGCTGGGTAGAGAAGCCAAAGAACCACAAAGACCGAGCATAGAGGGAGTGTTGTCTTTAGCTGAAGAGAAGAGAAGAGAAGAGAAGAGAAGAGAAGAGAAGAGAAGAGAAGAGAAGAGAAGAGAAGAAAAACGAGATTTATTAGTAATCAGTACTCAGACAGGCTTTTAATATATGTTAATCCGTGTGGTTTTTACCTGCTGACCAGGCGTTGTCTCCATTCTGATTGCCGTCTTCCTTCTGAGAGTCAGAGTTCAAACTCACATCAGCTGAGAGGTCCAAACTGTGAAAACTTCTCCTAAACCCAAACACATGAACCCAGATAGCAAAAAATATCGGCACGGCTTCTTTTTGCCGCCGGCCCCAAACTGTCGGCTATAGGTGCGCCCCGCTGGCGGAGAAGAAACGTTTGCCGCCGAATACGTCACTCCCATTTCTTGCGAGATGCCGCCGGCGAACAGCCGCCGGCCCGCCGACTTCATTCTCTCTGGCGGTTGCCGCCGTCTAAATGAACCGCGGCCGGCTGGCGGCAAGCCGCTTTGAAATCGACCAGCCATGTCATTGGCATGAGTGGAACTGACAGCATTTTAACTTTCACATTTAAAGCGATTATAATTATTATGTGAATTATATCAAATTTTTAGGTACCAAAGTCATTATAGGGTTTATAACAGATTTGACTCAGTCTGATTCCATGATAAGGTTTAGGAAAATACATTTAAATTACGTTGAAACTCTGAAGCGATTCAGTGATAGGCCTATGTAAAATATATAGAATTATTTTATTCACTTAAGGTGACAATTCATTTCTTTGATTTATGCACAAGTGAGATGCACAAATAGTCCAAAAAGAATTCCTTTTGTAAAACTTACTTGGCAATAAATATCTTTCTGATTCTGATTAGGTTTTAAAATAAATATTTCATTCATGGTATGAACAATTTAGCAGAATAAATGGATGAAGTTAGACTTTTAACCAATGCCTGAAATCAGTGAACAGTGAAAGACATCTGCAACTTGGCCAAAAGCTTGGGTATGCTTTAGATTTTTTTTATTAATTTGCAACCATGGTAATATTTATAATAAACATGAAAATCCCTGTTTTGACCTGAAAGATAAAGTGAAATATTTAGAAATATTTTGTCTCTCTGTCACCCCAGGAAATTTCGTTTATGTCTTTCATTTTTTTACAAGTTCGATTTTTTTATTTATTTTACCTTTTACAGGTATAAGGGATTCATTTGCAATAGCGAGTTTTGCAATCTGTACAAATGTTTAAGAAAGTATTAAAGCACAAACAGAGAAGTACCTCCACCGGCCGAGAGGGGCAGTACCTAAAAAACGGAAGCAGATTTACCAACACAACAGTGGCCACTCGTCACACGATTTCAGTATTTGGAGAGGATATCCTATCTAGTCATTGACTACGATCTTTAAAGTAAGTACATTTTTCCTTTTTGTGTAACGCAATATTATGTTCATTTTTTACATTTTTAGTTCATCTTTTTCAAATATGTTCTTGCCTTACTAGTCAAGCTAGTAAGTTAGCCTGTTTACAAAGTTTGCGTCATGTTTCTGACATAGCTAATGTTAGTTAGGCTAACGTTACTTAGTTTCTTCCTGGCGTTAGTTTTTTCTTTTCTTCTTTTAACTATATTTACGTATGTTTATGCAAGTGTGAGTAGGCCTACTACAGTATGTGGTTTAAGATAGTATTGGTCAGTCGAATAATTAACTAACTTACGTAACTAAATCCTGAAGGACAATTCTCCCGCCCACGTGGGAATGGTAACGTTAGCAACATCTTTACGACAAGAAAGACTGATCAGTATAACTTGTGTTGTTTTCTAACTAAACATAATGATGTTTTGTTTGATTCGACAACCATGCTGCTAGTCTAGTTTAACTTACAGTGTTAGCTAACACATGCTGCTTCGCCTTTTTTACTCACTGAATTCAAGCATGTTCGACATGTTGAAATGTATCTAGCTACAGTAGATCGCCAAAGCTTTACATCTAGAAAGAAAGCTTTACATCTAGAAAGTTTAACTTTTGGTGTTTTCTTACAAAAATAACTATGTGTGTGTGTGTGTATATATATATATATATATATGTGTATGTATATATGTGTGTATATGTATATGATTGTGTTTTTCTGAACATGGTTTTCTGTTGATCCACTTGTGAAAATGACTCGTTTTTTGAAGGGGTGAGCATTTTAATGTTATTGATTTTGCCTGGAAATTAATCAAAAAGTATACTTTATGCAAAATGTTCTTCTATTTTAGATGGTTCACATTGTTCAGTTTATCAACGAGGAGGATCTGCCATTTGCAGTGGTTCCGCAAGAGTGGCTCAGCGAGAGCATGTGCCATTGGCCCCCATTTAACCTCAGCAAAAAGACGAAGGCAACAATTTAGCCATCC